AGGCATGTACTAGTAATGGTCAGGGTTAGGCATGTACTAGTAATGGTTAGGGTTAGGGTCAGGGTTGGGCTATAGAAATGAATGGAAGTTAGTGCAAAGTCCCCAAAAAGTATGTTTACAAGAACGTGCGTGCATGTGTGCGTGTGCATGTGTGCGTGCATGTGTGTGCACACTCTGCAGGTTGACCTGAGTGCGTTCAGCTGCAGCTTCTGTCAATCAGTCAAGTTTAATCTGAGTGAGAAGCAGCTTGACGGAGGAACCAGAATCTTCCCTGCGGCGGTGCAGACTTCACACTTTGAACATGAAGAAGTCCATTTTCATAACATCTTGAGAATAACTCGATCCTGCAGTCTGCTAGATAATCAATCCTGTGATCATCAGAAAAGCTGTTTCTTCTGCTCCAGAGTGAGAAGAAGAAGGTTGTACTCACAGAAACTTGCCCCATGGCCTCCTGTTAGCAGCAGGTGTCGGTCCGATTGCTCTGACCACCGCTCCGGCTCCAGAAGCAGCCCATGATCCGGCCAGAGCTCTTCAAGCAGCACCCCTCGCTACACCAAGTGCTCCGCAGTCCCTAAACTGTGCAGAAACGTAGCGTGAGCTGGGTGGCTCGAGCAGAACTCCACTGGAAGAGAAAAAACAAAAAGCAGAGCTGCCAAATGATTATCTGAGGAAAGCCTCGCTTAATCTAATTAGACAATCTGTGGCTTCGGTGAGCGCCAGAGAGGCTGCTGCTGCTGAGGGACTCGTACCACAGCCTGTCTTCATCAGGTCTGCTGCAGCTGACACCAGGACCAGGACCTGCAGGACCTGCAGGACCTGCAGACAGCACAGTCACAGCTGATGCTGAAGGTTCTCCTCTACAGAGTTGACAGATTCACTGCTTATCCCCCCCACCCTCCCCCCACTCAGGAACAGCCATGCAAGCTGACGTCAGGTGGCACACGCACGCACTCACACACACACACACACACACACACACACACACACACACACACACACACACACACACACACACACACACACACT